GCGTGCGGCGCGCCTGGGACACGCCCAGCCGCGACGCCGACTGCGCGCAGTTCGTGTACGATGGTCACCGCCAGGTTCTCGTGCGCGGCTCGGAGGTGACGGCTGCGGCGCGGCGGGGCGGCGCGTTCGGCAGGATGGTGCGTTCGGACGCCGTGCGCGGCGGCCTGGACGCGTGGCGGAGGCGGGATTACCGCGTGACGACCGAGCTGGTGAGTCGGGAGAGGGCGCTGCTCGCCGTGGCCGCTGTCTGCGCGGCGCCGTTACCGGGCGGCGACGGTCTCCCCACCCCTGAGTCCAAGCTGGTAGAGCGACGGGCGATGCCACAGGTTGTCCTGGATCCGCAGCCAGCCTCAGACACGGACCAGCGGATGGACTCGGCTGACAGCCAGCCGTCGGGCCCTGCCGCTAACCAGTCAGACCTCGCTGGATACCTGAAGCCAGAGCTCACCACCGACCAGCAGATGGACTCAGCTGACAGCCAGCCGTCGGACCCTGCCGCTAACCAGTCAGACCTCGCTGCAAACCTGAAGCCAGAGCTCACCACCGACCAGCAGATGGACTCCATCGGGTATCTGCAAGTGAACTATATCCGGAACCAGCCGACGGACCCCGCCGTTGACCAAAAACCGGAGTCATTCACTGACCGAGAGACAGATCCAATCACTGATGAGCAAGTGGACTTGAAGCCTCATGAGCGTGCAGACGACGACGTTGGCCTCTGGGACAATGCTGGCTGCGGACCGGCGACAGACGCGGTGAGGGCGTTCGCCGCTGCCACGCGACGGCAGGATGTTGTGGGCGGCTCGGCGGCTCTGTCGGAGGTGCTCCCGGAGGGCGGGCTGAAGGTCGAGCGCTCCACCAGCCGCGAAGCAGAGGTTCAGGCGTGCCTGGGTCCGGACACTCTGGAGGATCAGAGCATTGCCGGGACAGATGCGTTGGGGTTGGACATGTTCGGAAGTCATATTTTGATGTCCCCTAATGCACAGTGCCATGCAGTCTCGTCGGAGGACGAGAGCCCCGCAGGATGTTCAGCATCAGCCGAAAGCATGCTCCGGGAAATTCCAGCAACGTCTGGGAGCAGAGTCATTGAGACTGCGTCCTTGGGCGTATCCCCTCCTCAAAACAGTACGGGTATGTCAGGTGACGTAGTCGTTGGCACTGGTATGAATGTGTGTACAGTCGCGTCTATCGAAAAATTTGGGGCTGCCGATCAGGGCACGTTCCACAATGCCGATGTGGGGTGCGGGTCCCATGCGGAGATGTGGGAGACAAGTGAAAACGTCGAGGATACGCTTCATGCAGCGGCAAATAGGATTTACACAGAGTCTGGAGGCACCCTCGATGCCGAAGCGGAGGACGCAGTCTGCGCAGAAGCGGAAGACGCACGCTATGTAGCGGCGAAAGACATGCCGCATGCAGAGCCGGAGAACTTGCCCCGTGCAGAGACGGAGAGAAGTCTCAATGCGGAGACGGAGAACGTGCCTCGTGCAGAGATGGAGAACATTCTCCATGCGGAGACGGAGAACATGTCCCATGCAGAGACAGAGAACATGTTCCATGCAGAGACAGAGAACATGCCCCATGCAGGTACGGAAAACACGCTCCATGCAGAGACGGAGAACATGCTCCATGCAGAGACGGAGAACATCCTACATGAAGAGACAGAGAACATGCACCATGCAGAGACGGAGGACATGCTCCATGCAGAAAGGAGGAGCACGCCCCATACAGAGACTGAGAATATGTTTCATGCAGAAACGGAGAACGTGCTTCATGCAGAGACGGAGAACATGCTTCATGTAGAAACGGAGAAAATGCTTCATGCAGAGACGGAGAACATTCTCCATGCGGAGACGGAGAACATGTTTCATGCAGAGACGGAAAACATGTTCCATGCAGAGACAGAGAATATGTCCCATGCAGGTACAGAAAACACGCTCCATGCAGGGACAGAGAACATGCTCCATGCAGGGACGGAGAACATTCTACATGAAGAGGCGGAGAGCATGCACCATGCAGAGACGGAGGACATGCTCCCTGAAAACGACACAACTGTGTCACAGACCAGCCGCCTGCCAAATGACGTGCTGGAAGTGGCCTGCACAGTGTCTAAGGACACACGCTGGCGAACACCACTCACAGATCTTCAGAAGCCTCCACCAGGGCCGGATCACGATGTTGGACGGGCGGAGCGGCCGGGAGTGGTAGAAAGGGACGAGTGTTCACGAGAATCCAGCGGAGAGCTTGACGCTATGCACGGCTCTCCAATATCCGCAGAACGACCGTGCGACCGTGCAATGCCTGCACTTGATGGAGACCCGAACGGTGATCGCCGCGCATGGCTGAAGGCATCGATCGCAAAGGGCTCACACGCCACCTTTGCGATGAAAAGCGCAGGTACGCTGCAGTGTGGCGCTGCCAGTGGTGGGATATGTGAGCTGATAGCACGGCGGTTAAATGGCCAGGACGCGCGAGATGAGGCCCCCAGCGATGTGAAGGCGCCGGTGCTGGGAGAGAGAACGGAGGAGAAGATTAAGGTCGAGGACAGCGGGAGCAAAGATGTCAAAGACCGGAATGAACATTCTAGTAGGCCCAGAAGATCTCGGCGAGGCAGAAAGATGGCATTTCATCCGTCTACTGACTCATCTAATGAGGACGGTGTTTATACTGCAACATTGCCAGATGTTGACAAGAAAGTTAAGCCCAAGACCTGCCCAGGCGGAACCTCGCCCGCCAAATTGGAGAACCAATCACGTCACATAGACACGGCCGGCGAACGGCGATGTCATGCAGGGAGCGAAGCGAAACAGTGCGATAGCGCACAGTCGAGTACTAGAACGAAACCTGATCCAAAGAAACATGCGGGATCGGATGTTGGTCGCGACGCCGCCTGCGCATTAGTCAAGTCCTCGCAGGCTACACTTCGTCCCCAAGGCGAAGGCGACGACAAGAATGGTACGTGTCGTAAACTTGCGTCAGCGTCCATCCCGTTGTGTGCCGGGCAGTCGCCGGTGTCCCCTGCCGAGCGCCGGCGCGCGTGCGTCCATTTACCCCACTTCTCGCTGACGGCCGTCCGGCCGTTCTGCCTGTTCCATGAGGTGCACGACTGTCCCGAGTACCGGCCGGGCGGCAGCTGCTTCATGGAGCGGCCGCACTGGCGGCTGCCGCAGCTGCGGCGCGCCGTGGCGCTGCGCTCGGCGTGCTACCCGCCGCTGCCGACGCGCCGCCGGCACGCGGCGCGCACCTTCGGCCGGGTGACGCCGCAGCGGCGGCGTTCGCTGCCGCCGGCCGACACGTGCGTGGCGGCGGCGACGGCGGACGGTGGGGCGCCACCGCCGCGCCCGAAGCCGCGCCGGCTCACGCTGCCCGCTCATGTGGACATGGCGTCTGTGGCGGACGTGGTGGTGCTGCGTCCGGCGACCACGGGCGGCGCCACCGTCGAGTGCGTGGCCGTGCGGCTGCAGAGCGGCGCGCTGCTGCCACTGACGGGGAGCGCGCTGGAGTCGGACGTGCCGTGGCGACTGGATCCGGCCGACGACGTGGAGGTGGTGGCTGCCGATGGGCGCCGCTTCCAGAACCCGGCCGGCCGCGCCGCCGCCGTGGACGTGACGGGCGCGGCCGGCAGGCTGCTGCGGCTACCTCTGGCCACGCTGAACCGACGCCTCGACGCTGGCCAGCTGACAGTGACGAGTTCGCCCGACGGTGGCCTCGTGTTGACACCGTCTTCCGTGCGCGGCTGCGGCCGGGAGCGTCTGTGGCGCGCGGCGGCGGCGGGTGGCGCGCTGCTCGCCGGCGGCACGGCCGTCCTCCGTCAGGAGATCTCCGGCCAGCTGACCGTGATCGGCGCCACCACCGGACCGCCGCGCGCCCGGCGTACCACCCGCCCCGCCGCCAGCGCCGCCGGCAAAACTGGGGCCGGCAGCGGTCCGGGTCCGCCGGCGGATCGCAAGAGGGCGGCGTCCTCCAACGGAAGCCTGGCCGGGCGGAACCGGCCGCGGCTGGATGACCCGTCGCCCAGGAGGGTGCGTAGTGCCGACGCTGAGACCGAACCGGAGCCAGTTTGCCTGAGCGCTGGTGACCGTCCAGCTGGACTGCGGGGATGGCCGGGACGTGCGGCTGCCGGCGAGGACGGCGGTGGCCGGCAGCAGCAGGAGGCGGCGACGGGCGCGGCGCGCAGGAGCAGCGCGCCCTGCGGCGGCCAGGCGACGGCCGGACACGGTCGGGCTGTGCAGGCACGCCCCTCAGCTGATGCGAAGCCACCCCCGCTGGTCGCGAGGTCGCCGGCGGCGCGGTGTCGGCAGGCTGGGATACGCTTCGCGCGGAACCCTGATGCGAAAACATCGTATCCGCAGAAGCTGAAGCTGGCGTTCAAACCTGAGGCCCCAGCAAATGATCAATCCAGCGGACCTGTCGCAGCGGGGGTTCCCGGAAGCGACACCCGCTCACCTCAGGCTCCTCTCGCCTTTCGGGCCGGCTCGCGCGTCCTCGCCGCGACATCGGACTCCGATGCCGGCGCGCCGCCCAAGCAGATTCGGAGGTCGTTCCACCCGGAGCCGCCGGCGCCGGCCGACGGTGCGGACCGCCCGGCGCCTGGGTCGACCGACAGCCGCCTGCGACTGTCGCGCGCTGCGAGGAGGCCGCTGACGGCCGTTCGGCAGCAGTCGACGGGTGTCGACTCGGCAAGCGGCGAAGTTGTGGTGCAGGGCCGACCGGCGGCTGGAGCGCCACTGGACGAGCGGCACCCGCAGACGGCCGGACCGCCGTCCAACCGCGAGCAGGGCCGGCCGGCCGCGCAGACGGCCGGGCCACCGGCCGACCCTGAGCGGCGCTGGCCGGCCGCGCTGTCTGGCACTGCGGAGGACCGGCCGGCGGGCGGCTGCGGCTCTGGCGCCGCTCGTCGTCCGCCCGCCCTCCTGCGCTTTGACGGGCTGCCAGTGCGGCGCCGCTCCAGCGCCGCCGCGGCCCCGGGGCCGGGCGGCGCGGCGCGGCCGGCGCCCGTCCCCAGCCGACTGCCCCTGGAAGTAACGCTGCTGGACGAGGCGGACCTCAGTGGGGACGAGCTGGACGTGCTCGGCCTGTCGCCGGCTGCAGGTGAGCTACGACGCCGTCGTCGGGACTGCAGATTTCGCAGCGTCCGCTCTGGGGACTCGGCTGACGTGTGGACCGTGGTACGTCGTTAGGTCACCAATGTCTGTCGGGATAGGATGGGAGGGGGGGGGGGGGGGGGGGTAGGGGAGGGGGTCGGCTTCAGGCTCAGTTGCCGCCGGTTATATTTAGACGTTGGGCTCCCTTGGCCCCTGTATCGCTAACTTGCTCCGCCACATGGCCGTTCGCGTCTTAACGCGCCTGGTGACATTGTTACTGGGTATATCAGTCTGTTTCGTGTTCCCAAACGTGCGTCGACTTCCTGAGCTCACGTGCCAAGCGCATTTTCAGCCAGGGAATGTGATAGATGCATGGCCTCTGGATTTCCTTGCCCTGTGCCTCACAGTACGCCAGTGAGCATAGTTCCGTCAAATGCTCTTGTTTCGGTGAGGGTATGGTAGCAGTTAAGCTGAAAATGCGTGGACCTTACGTGCATGCGTCGTTCTGTTTGCAGGCAAGAGACCTGGGAGTCTACCGTCAGGCGACATTTCGGTCATAGAATTGTGAACATCCGTCGTAATCTCACGCGCCATGTAAGCCAATGAAAGTTTGAATAGTTGGGATGATAATCCCACTGGTTTCCACGACATATTAGTTTGTATTGCCGTTGGGGCTTTGCGACGTACTCAGCAGCAGAAACCATATGGAGTCGCCGGTCTCTTTCTGGCAGAAGGGGCGGGCGCCGTGAGGAAACGATCCCTTTACCACTGGCCTCGCTGACTCTCAGCTTAATCATCACGCCACCGATTGCCTGGTATGTGATTTTGACGGGACTAGTGTTGGTATCCCGAGAATGGCACGGAGCTTGGCGTTGCACGGTGTGTGGTTTTCTCGTGAATGTATCTCTTGTCGACGAAATTGTGAAGTGAATTTCCATTAAAAACTTATACGTGTTGCAACATTGTCGCTGCAAATGCAGATTTGTGGTAGCACGTTAGCAGTGACCGAAACAAGTTTTAAAAAGCTTGTCCAGATGAATATATTGTCAGCAGAGCATATGGATTTTCGATTCCTTTTGCATAGCGTTCCAGGCCATAGGTTTTCTGTTGATTGCCTATCGTGGTTGCCTCAAATTGTGTTGATTTTGCAGAGAGTAAGCGCAAATATCGGGTATTTTGTTGCTAAAATATTCTAAATCATGCATTCAAAATCATTGCATATTACTCCATGTGAACTCCCGGATACATGGAGTGTTTTGGCCAACACTTGTTCAATGCTGGCGTGTACCATATAATCAGCTCGATACCGATCGTCGGGGATCCCATTGACAACACTGACAGCGTGACAGGCGTCCCGTTGTTGGTGGCCTAGGGGCAATATTTGGTAAACCGAATCGAGCCGCTTTAGTTTGCTTTCGGTTTGTGTGAAACAACAGAGCAGCCAGGCATAAAGTATGGTTCGATACCAGGTTTTTCAACGCTTGTGAAAAGGAAACTTGTCAAAAGTTACTCTGCTACTCTGAGGTTGTAAATCGAAGTTGGCCCTTTTCGTTCAGTCGTAAGTGTACCCTGGTAAATGCTATACGTTCTTGGCGTAAGCTACTCATCCAGCTCGCACTGATGAAACTGCGACCTCTTGACGGAATGAATGGCGGCAGGGTTTGTTGGTTGACAGCCTAGGGCCGTTATGTCACGGCGTCGTGGTGCGGTGCGTTGTGCTGGCGGCGCCGTATCGTATCCTGGCCCGGTTGCGCTGCGCCTCACACCTGCCCCGGCGTCCGTCCGCAGGTGTGGATGCCCTGCGACGGCCAGCTGCTGTGGCGCCGCGGCTGATCCGCCCGGCGCCCGTCGGTCTGTGGGGCGGACGGCCGCCTGGTGCGGCCCCCGGCCAGGGCTGCGGCCCCCGCCGGCCGCTGCCCGCCGACTGCGACACATACGGGAGCTGAGCCGGCCGGTGTCGCGCTGGCCCAGCGCTGCCCAGACGGCGTTTGATCTCAGCCGAGTGAGCGCCACCGCCGCCGCTGCCACTGCCCCTCCCCCTCCCCCTCCCCCCCCCCTCTCCTGGCCGCGTCCGAGCAGGCCGGCCGCCCTCCTCTGGTCACGGGCCAAAGCGGACTGTCGCGATGAACTTTCCGGCCGGCCGGGTGTGTGTTGGCGGTTCTCAGTGACTCGGCCGCCCGCCCCCCTTCCCACCGGCAGGGTGTTGAGTGTGTACACTGACCTTTAGTTCGTTGGTGTGCGCCGCTGACCTGTCATACTGATGTCATACGTCGTGTTGTGGCGTGCCACCTCCCATTCATGGGGTTTGGAGTGACTTAAGGACTTCGCTATGCAGATGTCCTTGTTGTACATTCGGTGTACGTAAAGTATGTTTCCTTGTTTGTAGTGCAAAATATGCTGATATGATTGCCCCTTCTCCCGGATGGCTGTGAAGCTTGGTACGCTGTGGTCCCTCGGAATGAGCTATTTACGTGGCTTTAAGTTCATCATTGTGATGAAAGTTGATGTTTGCCGTTCCTGCACGCTGCGTCAAATGCTGCGTTCGCCGTGCTTTCTTATGAATCAGGAATGGTTAGAAGCGGCTTGAGTACCCTTTTCTGACCCGGCTGGTGTATCGTCTTTTCCGTGGGCATCGTTTTTTCGCTTTCATACGCATTTTGGCCTCATGCTGGGCGTTTGAGAACTGGCTACAGAGCAGAGTCACGTTTCCCAGGAGCTGCGCACGTCAGATTAAGACATCTGTTTCGCTAGGCTATTTTTCGTTTTCCGCGGCTTCGTCGGAATAAGCCATGTTATGTTATGCGTGAAGCTTGGAACTCCATTGGGCATTTTGTGGGCGGTTCGTGGGTAGAAAACTGAGTGTCTGCACTACGTTCTGGTGCGTCCGTTTTGCACAGAGAAGCTCGGATTCGCAGCTGTAACAAATATGTGTTTTGACGTATATATACGTGAATAGATTGTCTTGTTTGTCACACATTTCAGGTTCACCGTTCTCAGTAAATCACGCACGCTACGGTGCAAGTATGGAAAGTCATCGCCGTATGCGAGCGACCTCTGCACCATGGTGATGTGCAGGCATCCTTGACCTCAAAGCAAATATGCACTCGATTGTGATGCGAGGGCCGTGGTTAGAATTGACTGGTCTTTGCATGACTGATCCGTTCAGTCATCACCCCCCCCCCCCCCCACCTTTAGGAGTTTTGCAAAATGCTGCGCAAAGCCAGTCCGTAAAACCATGGTACGTGCTTCGCGACCATTTTCCAGGTTAGTGCGGTTTGGACACCGTGTTCTGCAGCCATGCTTTATTCCACTTGCTCCTTACACACACAACACATATTTCCTTCGCGGACGTGTACGTTTCAGTCGGATCGTGCGTCATTTTTGGTCTGGTACCGTGGGGCCGGGCGGTGTCAGGACGTTGGGACCAGCTGTTCAATAGTCGTCATGGTCGTCGTATCCATGGTAGCTGTAGGGGTATCCGTAGTTGTAGGGATAACGCTGGTGGTAGTGGTAGCCATATTTACGGCCGTGGTCATATCCATATTTATGGCCGTAGGAGTGGCCGTACTTGCGACCGTAGCCGTAGGCGTAGTTCTTGCTGTATTCGTGCTTGTGTCCGTAGCTGTAGCGGTGGTATTTCTGTCCGTACTTGTACCCATACTTGTTTCCGTAGCCATAACCGTGCCCGTAGCCGTGGCCAATGTGGTTGCCGTAGTCGTCTCCGTAGCCGCCGTGGTAGCCGTAGCCGTAGCCGGGGTAGTCGTTGTAGTACGAGCTGTATCCGTAGGCGCCGCCGTAGAAAGGCTTGACGTAGGCCACCTTGCTGTAGACGTGGACTGGCTTGCTGTACGAGTGAGGGAAGTAGCCGTAGCCGCTTGCGGTGGCCACAGCCACCAGACAGGGCAGCAGTGCCAGCTGAAAGGGACGCGGCCCCGCCGTGTTAGCACCAGAACCACCGGCATGGTACCAACGCGATGCACCGCTGTTGTTGGGATGCCCTCGCAACCGTATGACTGCAGGGTATGTTGCATAGCATTGTTTCTTAGTGCTAAAATGTGTTTCAAGAATGTGTCTATAACTGCGCTCTATATTCCTTCTTTGCAGGGGTGTAACCACATGATAGGAGTGCGGGCGGGATGCATGTTTTCCTAATTTTGCCGAAATGGGCTCCCCACCCCTACTTCCGTATCAGAACGCACGTTTTCGACATCTTCCTGCACTACAAACGCCACTTTTGGCCATTTTGTCCCCCTGTATCCTGATTTCACCCCTCAATCTCGGAGAAGCAGCTACACCTGGCCACAGAGCCACGCAACGAATCCGACTCATCTATATTGTACTCTTTCGCATACGTTACGCAATTAGGCTATCCAAGGGAATTCAGAGGAATCATGGGCACAGCCAAAGAGGGATGTCCCCGCTTCAATCCGCTTTTGCATTGTTACCATGGATGGCTTCTGACGGAGCGTCGAAGGCGGATGATAAATTATCACTGAGCTCCGGTCCCGCCCCCCTCCCCTTGAGAAAATTCTGGTTGCGTCCCCTGGATTGACGAATTGCGCCAGTACGCAACAGTATCTGGCCAAACGTTTACGACACAACAATTTGCCCACTGGCCATCCAAGGCCGTCTAGGGACAATTGGCACGCTGTCTCTCCCCTCCTCCTAATACAATGCTGACGTCGCCACGTGATGACTGAACAGAGGACGGGTGGTGATGATACACAAGCCACTGCAGATGGAAAAAAGCGACTAGTAACAGTTCATGACAATGATTTTAAACGCATCTCCTTTTTATGAGCTATGGACTGGGACCGCCCCCAGGGAATGAGCCCTTAGTCGTGACGTTTATAAAGATGAAACCTACCAACAAACACCAACCACACCGTCTGTACTTGGAGCTACAGACGGCATCAGCCACACACAGCTATTACACACACGTGCAGAACACGGGTGCGGGTACCAACCTTCATGGTGATGCTGGTGCGGCCGGGAGGTCACAACCTGCGAGTGCCGTAGCATGCGCTCTCGCGCGGCGTTCTTATACCCCCGCCAGCTCGTGCCGGCGCGGCCTGCAAGTTAAGACAATGGCCGTCCTAATTGTGTCTGCGCCACACCCCGAATCACCCCGCAAGCAATGTCGCACAAGCAGAACGATCTGCAGAGGAAGTGGATTCATGGTCGGAAGGTTGCATTGCATTGTCTCCAAGGAGTCGGCACACTACATGCATTGCTGCAATCAGATAGGGTTTGCCCCTGCAGCCTTCAGCCGTCCTGTCCCGTTCGCCGTTTAATGATTGTAGCATGATGGTTCAAACTTGAGCATAAGCCCGCCAGCGGTTTGTCCATGTATATTATGAAACCTGCCGAAAATAGCTTTTGGGTGCAAAATTGCCACGGCCGTCGGCATGCCCCTGGTCCCAATCATCACCGAAGGCACGCCTGTGTTTATTTCACTTCAAGGAAATTGATTCCGAATCCGAAGCAGTGATCGAGTTGAGACTGAACCGCAGCACGTTGTTGTAACGACATTCGTTTGTTTTTAGTTTCGCCCACAATATGGCGCTGCAACAGCTACCTGGGGAGACCCGCAGAGAGACTATGTTGCTGTGATGGAGTCCGTTTGTTTTTAGGTCCGCCCACAACATGGCACTACAACAGCTATCTGAGGAGACCCGCAGAGAGACTGTTGCTGTGATGGAATCCGTTTGTTTTTAGGTCCGCCTAAAATGTTGGTGCTACACGACGGCTTAACGCCGCTGGAATTTTTTTGACAGATATTGCACGCCTTACTGCAGCGAAGGCTTATACGTCGCCAAGCACTACCTTCTCATGAAGGTTTCCTGAAGGACGACTCACGCAGTGTCGCATAGGTGTGATGAGCAGTGGCGACGACATCGTGGGGGACGCGTCTCCCCACAACCTTCAAGACCTTGGCAACTGTCCCTCCAAACCTCAGAAAAATCCGCACTTGTCGGCCGTGTTAGTGCTTTTTGGTGATGCAACCAAAATTCCAAACTTGAACACAGAGCGCTAAGAGCACTCAACGCGACCCACAGAAACGGTAATTACCCCACGTTGAGGAAGCTATTTTTTCGTACTTCTTTCCCCTCACCGGACATGGGGCTCATGACACTTTTCACATAGCTGGAGACTCAGCTCCTCTCCCCGTGGCCCACTTGATCCGCACCTTTTTCGTCGTTGTGCCTGTTTTAAGCGCATGTTTCCGATACTACTCCTACAATGTCGTGGATATACAGAACGAACAGACTTCGTACGTTCCCCTCAATATGAGACCTCGCCCGCTGTAAACGTCGGAGTGCGCCTCGCTCCTTCGGTTATTCAACGCCCTTCTCACACTTGTCAGTGATGTGCAGCAGGTTGAAACTTATTACCTCGCTGCGGGAGTCGTGCCCCTTAGTTTTGAGCGGGGTACGCGCGGTGTGGAACATAGCCAACATACCATTTCCGTTCTTTAAAATTGCAGTTCAAAATTTTACAAACGGAAAGTAGATTTAGGAGACGAGCCATGCTTCCAAGTGTCTCTAATGTCCGATCGGCCCCTCGCTAGCTCTGGAGAGACCCGCCGTTAAGCTGGCTTTGGTGAGCCCGACGACTGTGCTGGCCCTGACGAGACCGATCCCTGTGCTGGCTCTGGTAAGACGCGGCCTGACGCCGACTTTAGTGAGATCGCCCACCGCAAGGGGGGTTGCGAAGCTACTTTTTATCATAACAGATTCTGCAACACACGTGTTTCTGTAGGTACCTTACACGTTCCTGGCACGCGGTCTCATTAACATGTTAGGCCAGCTGTGCATAAAGTGTTTTTTTTTCACGATAAGCTTATCACCGGGATCAAGACAAAAAAGGCTTCAACATGCGGCCGATGTGTGTTCGTGGAGAGCTTAGCCCAATGTAAGTACGCGGGAGTTTAGTCCAATGGAAGTTTACGAAGTCAGAGAGGAAAAATGAAATTTAAGGGATCTTGAATGAGACAAAATGGATAACAAATCTCATAGCGCAATCATACATTTGCAGCGAACCCAGTTTTAATGAGTTTCATCGACGTAGGTTAAAGTAAAAAATTAATGACCGTCATCCCCACCTAAAAACGCTGTCAGGATCGATCAGTGAGCGACGGGCACGGCCATACCCAGCGGATACCCACACCAGCACACCCACCTCGGCGCGCGCCCATGTGACCCGCCCCCAAATCCAGCCTGCTTTAGTCTGTTTCTTCTAACATGACTGATCAAATACCGTGGATGCCTTTCACACGCCTGCTCACGGATATTGCATTCCTGGAGCTGCGCCGCACCAGCACGTGACTGCGCCGAGGTGGTGACCCGCATAAAGCCGTGACAGCGACTGCCTTTAGACGATTCGAACCTATACCGCAATCCCAGACGGCCGTAAGCACGAATCCGCACACCTTCTGTCCCATTTCGCGCTCATCTTACTACGCCGCCCCGTATCGGGTACTGGACTGCTCTCAATGTCAAAGTGACAATAAAACAACTCACAACAATCCGAGCATCCTTGTATTTAGGACAAAGGACAGTGCACGCGCAAGCTCCTGTCATAAGTCCGACACGCCAAGCTCAACAGCGACGGGCTATGCGTGCCCCGAGGATATCCTCCTACCCTCACACACACACACACACTTCGGCAGCACATAATATAGACACTGCATGGAGAGGTTAAGATACACTCGACCTTTTCAACTTGTTACAGGCTCGACTTTCAAAACTTTAGCTGCGACATAAAACGAAGTGTACGGGTGTAAAGGTTTGACAGAGGGCAGTCCCGCCTGGCTCTTACGTCAAGCCTCGTACTTTGCCTCCGAATGTTATTTGAATGCCAGTCAGGTAACCTAAACACGGTACTCATGAATTGAATTCCAAATTCGGGTAGTAAGCACAAAAAAGTCACCAGCGACACTCCCGTAGGACACGATACGCTGGCTATTACTCGCATATTCCACTTGTCAGATCATCACACGGTGGGTACAGATCATAGACGTGACAGATCTTCACATCTTAGTATATCGAGAAGCAAATATCTCATGAAAGACTTAGTTTGCCGCGAGTGTTTTGGGAAAAACCTCACAAGGTGTTGCGCAGCATGGATGGAAGGTTTTCAAGGATTGATATACATCCGCAACAGCGAGACAACGCAGCAGTTTGTCCATACACCATGCGTTGATCCGCTCTGCACAAAAATATATTACTACGATGTTCGCATGTCATGAATCTCCTGAACGGACCGTCAACAGATATCAGTCAATTCAGCCGATGTTAACTTCGGTGCAGATCGGAGTGGGCGTCCATGATCCCAGCCACACTGTCCGGCTCCTTCGCTGGGTGGCAAACCGAACAACTCGCTCATGACGCAGCTCTTCTTTTGTCGCTCACCAGGCACAGGCAGCCTCCGTTCTGTTCAACGGAAAATGTTGGATAGAAAATCCTGTCGACTACAATTCTAGGACGACATCTTTCCAGGAATTTGACAGCGTGGAAGATGTTTTACAATCCAGCGGATAACTCAAGTAATGCGAGGATGAGGACACATCGTGTTTTGCCGCACACGTAATATTTAGTACGTATATCATGCGAGTTACAACATAGGCCATTGTTCTAACATTCTAGATCATCAAGGCAGGAGAACACCAGGAAAGGAATGTCACCCACCGTATACCAGTAAGTCTTTGGCCAGCGTGTCAGGGAAAGCCGCCTGTCTGAGCTGTCATCTGTCGGAGCTCAGACCAAATAACACAACACAAAACCAAATACATCACCACCATCGCAACGGGTACACAGTGCAACACCCATCGCACCTCTTATTCAGCTCATAACATTCGCCCGCGCGACCAAGTTCGCACTGATTCGTTATTCGTCACGGGACGCCAGGACTCAGCTGGGCTGATATTCGTCACAACAAAAACAGTGCAATCCACAATGGTTGAACAAACGCATATCTTATCTGCAAACCTTGCCTGAGAAAGTCAACACCACTGGCGTAAAATGGCGCTTGCGTAAGGAGTGCACTCAAGTTCTTTGTCATGGGGTTTTCGACCCCTGCTTGACGCATGTGCAGGCTCGTTTCTGAGCATCCCGGTACGACTTACAGCCCAGAGCCAGCGTGCCCGTATACAGCAGCTTCGACGTGCCCTTGCATGCTGGAACGGCAGGAAATCAGTCGGCAGGACAACCAGTGACGCCGCCTAACGTGAATCTACCGCCTGGTTACCACGCAATCATCTCATATGATGGGTGTGGGAGTAACAACGCACAAACTGGAAGTATTATTGACGACGAATGCATGGACGGATCATAACAATCCCCTAAGTCGGAAGGACTACCAGGACTACCCCGACGGATACCGTGCCTGTTACGCAAAGGGGCTATGTTTCCTCGATGTCCTCTTCCTAAAATCAAACCAAGGATTCCATGCTACTGAAATTCACGCGAGAACGTCGAGACCGACAACAGCAATACAAAAACAGAGGTCAATCAAGCACGGTAAACTGAAGCATTTAAGCTCATGGGTTAGGAACGTAGCGTGGCAGGCATAGCAACGACCAATAACATTTCGAAACCCACTGGAGTTCCTGCCCATAAACTGAATGTACAAAGCTTTTAGGATGAACTCGACAGATCTCAAGTTCATGCAAAACTGCTCTTAAATCTGTGAGCGAGATTACAAAGCTGATGACATCACACACCATGGTGTGCTTTCATACAACAAGCCAAATATTAGCCTGATTCCAGGCTGGGGTGTCGCAGCACCATGCAAGCACCTGCTGTGTGGGTCTGCCTGCCACATCTTGTGCCCACCTTTCTGACTGATTTTGTCCAGCTGGCGCTTTTGGCGTTCGCAGGCAGCATACAGGCACTTTTTGAAGGCCAGGTCGCAATAGTCGCGGTCGGCGCCGCACGTGTCGTAGCAGAGGTCGTGTGCGTCACAACAGTCTGACAGCTGCTCCACTGGCAGCTGCTCAGTGTCCCACTGTAGGTAAGAGGACATGGCTTGTCAGCTGGAAATTAGGGGTTTGCCTGTAGCTATGAGGTAGGGTCAAAAATTGTGAGACAAGGATTGAGGTTCAAGAACCATAGGTCAAATGCTTAACCTGAGGACATGGGTGCTGGAACTATGGTTGTTTTGGCATACTTATAAATCAAAGATTGAGCCACAGGTCACAGGGGAAGCTCTTTAAATTGCTGACAGACCAAGGAGGCCAAAATCCATCAACAAATACTAATATGCCATGGTTAGACAGAATAAGTTCACCAAAATGCTTTATGAACATGAAACTTTCATATCAAATGCACACATAGCCAAACTCACCCAGCTCCAATTTCAGCATGATTAAACAACTGGGCAGGGAAATATATCCAAAACACTAGACAGGATGCACCAACCCTGCCATCTTGTCAAGGAAACATGGTGGTGAGATGGGTGCACTGTGGAAGGGATGGTAGTTGTTTGTACAGTACCTTGATGCCAAGACTGCCACAACCATCTGATGATGGTATATAGTTGGTGTTGTTGATGGGGACATAGCCTGGAAAAGCATCATTAGCACCTTAGCTTTAGAAAACTGGAGAAAAAGATACACACACACACACATTGAGGGAAATGGTCCATACTTGCATGAGGGTTTGAATTGAAATAACCATCCTGGAGATCATTTGGTGCAGTTCAAAGCCCTGACCTAAGGATCTAAACATTCCTGGTTTCTGAGCAACATGCCAGACAGATATGTAAACAATTTTGGGGAGACTTTTTATCCAACCATTCCATCAGTCATGTGGTAATTAAGCCACACAGCATAAAATTGCCTAGCCATCCATATCTGGCATTCATGACCACAATTTCCATGTATAACTACAGCTATTTTGCTATCAATCAATATTGTGCAAGATACAATAATGTAATGAAACATGATTAATTGAGAAACATATTTACTTCTTAAAATCATGCTGTCTAGAGCAGCCTTGCAACTTAAAAGAATACTGATGAATATAAGTGAACTTATCACATCATACCTGATACTGGCTTTGATATCTTCAAATGTGGACCTTTATGAGTGGTGGCAAGAGCAACATACAATTCACTCAGAACTCTTCAGCTTTGTCAGACCCCCAAAATCCATAGCATCCATGCTAGTACTATCCATAAGTCTAATGAACAATATATTTGATGTCCCTCTGGACAACTCAACACTCTTAAACAATCAAACTGCTGTGGTGATATGACACCTTTCTCACACAATCTGAGGGCAACATCAATTAAATATGCAGTCATCACAGACATAAAACAATACTATACCACACAGCTTTGCAGCAATCATTAACTTATCTGCAGCATGCACTTTCATGATCATTTGTCTTAGAAGCAAGGGAAAGTAGGAGCATTCATAAAAGTTCACTGTGTATACCTAGGTTGCATTTGAAGTCACAGTTCTCATCAATTGTTGAATCAACAAAGTCTTGGATGAAGCGCCAACCATCCAGAACTTGAGTTGCGCCAACACCAATTTCATTCAGAAATGTGCCAACATTCTGAACGGCATCTTGCAGCTCGTCAAAGAATGATGCAGATGCAGGTTGGCTGGATGCAGCCAGCAATGCAACGCACAGAACCCTAGCACGAGCGCCTATCACAGTTCGGTGGGGCGGATTCATGGAAAGCTTCCGCTGTTTAGAACAAGTTCTTGAGAATCCTCTTATAGGCTGCACCTTGGCTTAGCGGTAATTTTTTACTTGGGTACCTGTATGGCCGACGGAGGGAAGAGCTACGCTAGCTGCAGGGTTTCGAGTATTGTCGTGCGGGGCAAAAGCTGTGAGGCATCAGCTAACATTGTGACGTCACTGAAAATGGTTTTGCATCGATCGGGGTCGGGGTTCTTTCGGGCCGACTGAAGGCCATAAGGCTTTTGCTTGTGATATGATGTCACTGGTATTCGGCTGGGTATGTGACGTCACTGGTCGTGAGTGTGTAAGGCTCTTTTGGGTCAACTGAATGCCGTAATGCATCAACTGGCCATGTGTCGTCACTGGTATTCGATTGAACATCAGGCGCGGCCGGCCTCGTTCCATCTTTACTTTTCATACCTGTCTGCTGCAAGCATTTGCGTGCCGCATAGGGGTTTGACCGAATTACCCCAATGTGTGACATCCCTAATCATCACTTCATACGAGTGCACCTAGGCCCCACGACCACGGTGTGTCGTGGTCCGCGAAGTATCACCGGATAGCGTGACGTCACTGGTATTCGAATAAATACTGGGTGCAACAGGCCGTGCTTCATTTTTACCTTTGTACTTGTCTGCTGCAAGCATTGGCGTGCTGGATGAAAGCTGCCGAACCACCTGAGTGTGTGACATCACTGGCCATGAGTTCCAACGGTGCTTTTCGGCCAACTGAAGACCACAAGGTGTCAGCTAGCGACGTCACTGCTATACGACTGTAAGACGTCAATGGCCGTGGGTTTCCACGGGCCCTATAGGACCGACGAAATGCCGTTAGGCATCAGCTGGCGATATGACGTCACTGGTATTTGGCTGAACATCAGGCAACAGGTCATGCTCCATTTATACCTTTCGTACATGTCTGCTGCAAGTATTGGCGGATTTTTTGTGCGGCCAACTAAAGACCATAGAGCATCAGCTAACGATGTGACGTCGCTGGCACTCGACTGTGCGTGTCGCTGGTCATGAGGTTTTACGGCCTCTTTTGGGGCGACGAAAGGTCATACGGCAATGACTGAAGATGTGACGTCACTGGTATTCGAATGAACTTCGGGCGCGACAGACCATGTTCCACCTTTATCTTTGGTACCTGTCCATTGCAAGCATTGCCGTGGAAGGCTCTGCCAAATTACCTGAGTGTGTACGTCACTGGCCATTAATTTGCACACTCTTTTGAGCCTACTATAGGCCATAAGGCATCAGCTGACGATATGATGTCACTGGGTTTCGACTAGACATCATGCGCAACAGGCCATGCTCCATCTAAACCATGTTTCGTCTGTACCTTTCGCACCTATCTACTGCAAGTATTCGCGCGACACAGGGGCTCTGCCGAATTACCTTAGCGTGTGGTGTAACTAGTTATGAGTTAACGCGGGTTTACTCTGGCTGAATGAAGGACATCAAGCATCAGCTGACGATATGACGTCACTGGTATTCGACTAAACTCCAGGCGCGACAGGCCATGTTCTATCTTTACCTTTCGTACCTGTCTCTTGGAAGTATGGGCGTGCTGAATGAAGGCTCTGTCGAGTCTCCTGAGTAAGTAACGTCACTGGTCAAGAGCTTTTTACGGGACCTTTTGTACCCCCAAACGGTATGATGCATCAGCTGATGATATGACGTCACTGGTGTCCGACTTAACATCAGGCGCGACAGGCCATGTTCTATCTTTACCTTTCGTACCCGCCTATTACAAGTATTGACGTGCTGAATGAAGGCTCTGTCGAGTCTCCTGGGTGTGTAACGTTACTGGTCATGAGTTTTTTCTGGCTCCTTGGAACCCTCTATAAGGAAACATGCATCAGTTGACGACATGATGTCAATGGTGTTCGACTTAACATGAGGCGTAACAGGTCATGTTCCATCTTTGCCTTTCGTACCTGTAAAGTATTGGTGCGTTAAATGATGGCTCTGCCGAGTCACCTGAGTGTGCGACGTCACTGGTCATGAATTTTTACCAACTATTTTTGGCTGAGCGAAAGCCATAAGGCATCAGCTAACGAAATGACGTCACTGGTAATCCACTGAGTGTGTGACGTCACTGGTCATGAGCTTTTACGGGCCTTTTTTGGCCGAGTTCAGGTCATTAGGCATCAGATAACGTTATGGCGTCACTTGTATTCGAATTAACATCAGTTGCAATAAGCCATGTTTCATCTTTATCTTTCGCACCTGCCTACTGCAAGTATTCGTGCACTACAAAAAGGCTCTGTCGATTCGCCTGAGCGTGTGGTGTAACTGGCCATGAGTTTGTGCAGGTTTACTCGGGCTGACTGACAGACATCAAGCATCAGCTGACGATATGACGTCACTGGTAATCAACTAAACTGCAGACGAATCATCTGAGTGGGTGACGTCGCTGGTCATGAGTTCATACGGATTCACTTGGGCCGCCCAAGGCCACAAAGCAACACCTCCCGTGAAGCATCACAGGATGATATGTCGTCACTGTTATTCGACTTAACATCAGGTCCAACATGCCACGTACTTTCTTTACCTTTTGTACTTGTTTATTAAAGGCACTGACGTGCTGAATGAAGGCTCCGTCGAATCTCCTGAGTGTGTGACGTCACTGGTCACGAGTTTTTTACGGGCTCCTTTGAACCCATTTTAGGTTATAATGCATCAGCTGATGACATGACGTTACTGGTGCTCGACTAAACATCAGGCGCAACAGGTCATGCTCCATATTTGCCTTTCGTACCTGGCTGCTGCAAATATTCGCGTGCTATATGAAGGCTCCGCCGAATCACCTGAGTATGTGACGTCACTGATCATCAGTTGGTAGGAGGTCACTTGGCCACCTACGGCTACGGAGTTCCGCAGCAGAGGTGGGAGATGCACCATAGTTAAGCACACTAATTTTATTGTGCGCACCATTAAGTAACAACTTCAAACGCAACGGGCTGTTTCAACGACTAAAATTTTGAACCAACGTAAACACAAAACAAAGGTTTTCCCAGCCCACAAACCGACGTATATGCAAAGCTATTCCGCCCGACATCACAGGATGCGCCCCTGAGCAGCTACGGTCCGGAATGCCCTGATGGCTAAATAATAATCAAGGGCGCCGCCTAGCGGCCATAAGTCTGGGCCACAGCCCGAATATCAGTGACGTCATATGGTCAGGTGATGCTTGATGTCCTTCAGTCATCCCGAGTAAGCCCGCGTAAACTCATGACCAGTTACACCACATGCTCAGGTGATTCGGCAGAGCCTTTATGTAGCGCGCGAATACTTGCAGTATAGAGGTGCGAAAGGCAAAGATGGAACATGGCCTGTTGCGCCTGAGATTAAGTCAAATACCAGTGATGTCATATCGTCAACTGATGTCTTGTACCCTATAGGTACAAAAAAGCAGCCCGTAAAGAACTCATGACCAGTGACATTACACACTCAGGAGATTTCACAGAGCTTTCCTTAAGCATGTCAATGCTTACAATAGACAGGTACGAAAGGTAAAGACGAACATGGCCTGTCGCGCCTGGTGTTAAGTTGAATACCAGTGACGTCACATCGCCAGATGATGCTTGATGTCCTTCAGTCAGCCCGAGTAAACCCGCGTAAACTCATAACCAGTCACACCACACGCTCAGGTGATTGGGCAGAGCCTTTATGTGGCGCGCGAATACTTGCAGTAGATAGGTGCGGAAGGTAAAGATGAAACATGACATATTGTACCTGATGCTTAATTGAATACCAGTGACGTCATATCGTTACCTGATGCCTAATGGCCTTAAGTCGGCCCAAAAAGGCGCGGGGAAAACTCATGACCAATGGCGTCACACACTTAGTGGATTACCAGTGACGACATATCGTTAGATGATGCCTAATGGCTTTCACTCGGCCAACAATAGCCTGTAAAAACTCATGATGACGCACTCAGGTGATTCGGCAGAGCCATCATTAGGCTCGCCACTACTTTAACAGGTGCGAAAGGCAAAGATGGAATATGACATGTTGTGCCTGATGGTAAGTCGAACACCAGTGACATCATATCGTCAACTGAAGCATTATACCATATAGGGGGTTGAAAAGAGCCCGTAAGAACTCTTAACCAATGACGTGATATAACACGCGAATGCTTGCAGTAGACAGGTACGAAAGGTAAAGATGGAACATGGCCTGTTGCGCCTGATGTTGAGTCGAATACCAGTGACGTCATATCATCCCGCGACGCTTTACAGGATATGATGCTTTGTTGCATTGGGCTGCCCAAGCGAACCTGTATAAACTCATGACCAGTGACGTCACGCACTCAGATGGTTCAGCATCACCTTGATATAACACGCGAATGCTTGCAGTAAACAGGTACGAAAGGCAAAGATAGAGCATGGCCTGTTGCGCATGACACCTAGACGAAAACCGGTGACGTCATATGGTCAGCTGATGTGGCATGGCTTACAGTGGGTTCAAAACAGTCTATACAAATTAATGGTTAGTGACGTTGCACACTCAGGTAATTCGGCAGACCCTTCCTTCAGCATTCAAATACTTGCAATGGACAGGTACTAAAGGTAAAGATGGAGCATGGCCATGGCCGCCTGAATTGTATTCGGATACCAGTGACGGCACATCTTCAGTTAATGTCGTATGACCTTTCGTCGGCCCAAAAGAGGCCGTAAAATCTGATCACAAGTGACATCACACACAGTTGAATGCCAGTGACGTCACATCATTAGGTTATGCTTTACGGCCCTCAGTTGGCCCCCAAAGATCCATAAAAATGCATGACCAGTGACGTCACACACTCACGTGATTTGGTAGCTTTTATTCATCACGCCAGTGCTTGCAGTAGACAGGTACGAAGCTAAAAATGGACCTTGACGTGTTGCGACCAATATTTAGTCGAATATCACTGACGTCACGATACCCAGTGATATTTCACGGAACATGATACACCGCGGCCGTGGGGCCTAAGTGCACTCGTATCAAGTGATGATTGGTGACGTCACACATTCAGGTGATTCGGTCAAGCTTTTATTCGGCACGCAAATGCTTGCAGCAGACAGGTACGAAAGGTAAATATGGAATAAGGCCCGTTGCGCCTGATGTTTCATTGAATACCAGCGACGACATATCGTCAGGTGATGCTTTACGGCATTCATTGCACCCAAAAGAGCCCTAAAGCCTCACAACCAGTGACGTCACATATCCAGTCGAATACCAGTGACATCATATCGCTAGCAAATGCCTTGTAGGCTTCAGTCGGCCCAAAAGAATCCCGATCGATGCAAACCCATTTTCAGTGACGTCACTACGTCGGCTGATACCTAACAGCATTTCTCCATCATGGCAGTACAGGAACCCTGTAGCCAGCGTAGCTCTCTCCCCACCGTCGGCAATACAGGTACCCAAGTAAAAAAAAGCCGGCTTAGCACGCTCCACCTCAATTAATGAAACCTGCTTTGATCTTTACGCCAAATTAGGCAACCCGAGGTTCTCAGTCACGAGCATAACAAACAACAAGCTCTGACGCATAGATGCGCCGGAATACGACAACCCTATTTCACTGTCATCCATGCAGCCAAGCCCAACCTATGGAACCGCATGACAGATTTCTTCAAGCAAGGAACAATTGAAAGCCAAAAAGCGATGTTGTTTGCTCTTCTGAAACTGGCAACATCACGTTACCATTTTCATCATAAAAAACCGCATAGACCACTTTGAGGCATTGCAACCAAGTACGGTAGCGAGCAGGAGGGAGGGAGAGGGGTGGGCACAGTAGGCACGTGCCCTCCTCTACCCCTTAGGTTTTGAGGGGCCATTCCGGCCCCCCGTAGGTTCGGGCCCCTCGGAACCTACGATCAAGGGCCGGAAAGATCGGCCGGAGATCCCATTCAGGGACCCCGGCCCGCAGGGCCAGTGTCCCTGAAGAGCCAGAGGTCTTTATGTCGGTCGGACACCACCACTAACGCAACGTTAATTTCGTGGCGACATGGGCATAGAGACCATTTCCCACGCGGAAGCAAAGCCGGAGTCAGCGATTTACATTAGTCGGAGCCCCAGTGCCTGTTAAGGCTGAACAGCCACCAACGGAGCCCCTGCGTTAGCAAGGGTCCAGAGTTGGTCAGAGATAGTGTTCGATAAGGCCCGAAGAGCCTAGAGGGCCCCCAAGATCCACCGACTAAGGGTCCGATTGGAGGGTCTAAGGGCACGAAGGGTTTGTCGGAGAGTCGTATTCAGGGGGCCCGGTTTGTGGCGACGGGCCCCCAAATAACGATCATAAGGACTTTTGCGCCGATCACGGACCACCTGAGTTGATATGAGCCTATATGCCGGTCAGGTACCACCAGTATCACGTAGTCGACTCTGTATCGGTATAGGCGTCCACTTCCCACTCAACTATAAACCCAGGGTTAGTGATTGACGCTGGACGAGGGCCTTGTATCTGTCAGGGAACCACAGCGCCTAACAGAGGGTCCTGTGCTCGCAAGGGTCCCGAGCCGACCAAGGGAAGTATTCGATGAGGCCCTAAGAGGGGCTCGGGTAGCCCATTGGAGGTGACTATCAAAGGCCCGGTTAGAGGACATAAGGGCAGAAGGGCTGGCTGTATGTCACATAAAGAATCGCCACCCGCAGGGTCGCGACCTGAATTATCAGTGGTCTCAAGGCGACCCCACCGTGTTCTCAAGGCAGCCTCTTTCCCGGGGTCTAAAGGGAGTTGATTAGAGTGGTTGAAATAAGTTCAAATACGCAGGAGGCCATCCCATGTTTGCCTGAAAGCGTTCATTCAGAATGGACTAGCGAAATAAATAACATCAAAAGGTTTGAGTCTACGCGCCAGTTGCCGATAGTGCAGTGGTTAGCGCGCCTGCGTTAACTTCTGCGCGTCTGGGAAACCAGAGGCACGGGGTTCGATTCCTCGCGGTGCCCGCCCTTCCTGCCAGGGTGAGAGGCGGCGCCATATAGCCACGGCAGTTGAGTGCGTCGTAAAGACCCAGTGACACACGGGCAATCTCCGGTGGGCATGACAGTGATGCCCCCGATTGCAGTTTCCGTAAAACCAAATGGCATTGGCCACTGCAAGCAACGACAAACGGCGGGCGCCGTGTGCGCAACAAGGGCCAAGGTAAAAAAATGCTCCTGAATGTCTTTCACATTGAATTCGTACAATGCAAAGCTAAGACTGAGCCAAGCATTTTTACAACTGTAAGGTTGTCCTCTGGGTATAATAACAGTTAGTGCAACAAGAAAAATATATATTTTTCCTTCACTGTTCCAGTTCCACAACCAGGCTCCTGCCCTACTTCGCGGTGCTGTAAAGGCCAATCCGTTATTATTAGCAATCTAAAAGTCGCACAGGTGAAAAATATGCCCTAAATGCCTCCAAATACCGTCCAAAAGTACTTATTTCAAAAGCGTCATCATTTTCGCCTACCTGTCAGCAACAGCCCAGTATTAGCCGCGAGGCCAACACTGCAAGGCCAACGAAGACTGCAACACCTGGTGTCGAGTTTTTTGTTTCTAAGATGTGCGAGGGCGGATGCTCAAAACTACGTTACATTATTTACATATATATATATTACTATATATATATATATATATATATATATATATATATATATATATATATATATGTTATATGCAAGGCAACTTGTTCCCGTAATCAGTTTCTTACGCGTTTACTCGATTGTTCGAATCACATCCTTCGCTTTTTTGGTAAGTCATAAATCAGTTCGCCAATGGTCGTTTGTATTTTTTTCAGCAAGCTGCCGTGTCAAGAGCAGTAGAGATATAACTTTCCCATTTTCGGGGAAATGTGAGACAGTTGGGCCGAAAACATTCGAATATGGCGAAATACGGCGCGTGCTCTACGAGACATAATCAAAGGTGGAATCATCACTTAGCAGATTATGCATCCGAATATCAAGCCAAATTACATTACACATTCAAACAGACGTACATTACTTTTCCAGTCACTTTGACACCATGGCAAGTTCAAGGCATCGAACCGCCCTTCTGTCATTTGGTGACTGAGCAGGTCCAAAGTGACGCATGACCTAAGCTGCTTGTTTAAATCAGGTATTCTTTTTGTGATGAGGATGGCTTTGAGAACTGTTAATGTTTGGACATAATTTTAGAATCCGTGTGTTTTCAGTTAGGTCAGAGCGTAGGAGTTTTTTTGTTGTGGGTTTGCGCATATGCTGGTCTGGCGCCCCACCCTTCCTCCCCTCTTCCCCCTGCAGGTACATTGTCACGCGTCGTGGTAGAGATGTCTTGGCCATTCTAATGAAGGTCGAATTGCGGAGCCGAAGCAGTCTCTGTAGGGACATTTAAATTCATACATCATATAAGTGTGCTTGAGCGAGATTCTGTTCTTCGGGCGGGTTGTTTTTCACTGCAAGGCTGCTGGTTGTCCTGCTCTTGCAATAAATGGTTAGTCGTGTTTCATTGTCTTCATCAGTCGGTGCGATATTTTCAATTTTCCGTTTGGACAATGGAAGGGTGCTTCTGCGGTGCAGCATCAGAGTATTTCTTCTGGGATGAATTGTGATAGTTTTAGTAGTGACAAGGCTAGGTGATTGTAGAAACAAACCCGTATAATCTGGATTGTTTCATCAACAGACGTTGTTTCGTAAACAGACTTTCTACGTCTAATGCCATTATGCCATTTGAAGTTTTTGCCACCTGATAGGAAGGCGTTGGAAGTTGAGATATAATTGGGCTCAGGGGGCTATTCGTTTTATATGTTGTTACGTTGCAGTAGCCATAACCAGTGCGCTATTCACCTATAACCTTTGTAAAGTGCTGCCCTGTACCAGGGCGTTTGCCGCGGTAATCAGGCTGTTGGCTTTCATTGTAGGGCTTTTGGTTGGATCCTTCGTGATGAGAGTGAACTTGGAGGAGTCAGAGATGAAACAGCTCATTTTACTCAGGCAGGCAGCTTTGTCCATGATGACAAATGTTCTGTATTTACCCGTCATTCTAACGACGATCTGTTCACTAGTTCTCAGTCTGTTATCTCTTTTCACCATCAGCTTTTCATCGCAGTGAAATGTCCCCATTCAAAAAAGTGGACGAAATAAGTTTTGTGGGACATCGCCAGGTCAGATATCACACCGACTAACTGAAGACATTGAATACGACGAACCACCTATTACGAGAGCAGGACAACTGGCGGCATGAATGACAATATATGAATGATAGCAGCACGTGCCATGAAAATAACCTGACCAGGAACCAACTAAAGCGCCCCAATACAGTATATGAATTTGAATGCCTCTACGGGGACTGCCGGCTCCGCAATTCGACCTTTATTAGAATGGCCACGACATCTCTACCACGACGCATGGCAATACACCTGCAGGGGGAGGGGGGACGCCAGACCAGCATATGCGCAAACCCACAATAAAAAAACTCCTACGCTCTGACCCAACTGAAAACACACGAATTTTAAAATCATGTCGAAACAAACGACGTTTGCAAGTTCTCGAAGTCATCCTCATCACAGAAACAATGTCTGATTTAAACAAACAGCTTAGGGTCATGCATCAATTCGGACCTGTTCAGTCACCCACTGACAGCGACGTGATCCAATGCATTGAATTTGTCATGGTGACAAAACGGTTGGAAAAGTGATATACGTGTATTTGAATGCATTTTGTAACACACACACACACACACACACACACACACACACACACACACACACACACACACACACACACACACACACACACACACACACACACACACACACACACACACACACACACACACACACACACACACACACACACACACACACACACACACACACACACACACACACACACACACACACACATATATATATATATATATATATATATATATATATATATATATATATATATATATATATATATATATATATATATATATATATATATATATATATATATATATATATATATATATGTTTATATACGTCCATACCCTGGTTTCCAGATCAAGCGTGGTCATGGCCGTCGTTGTTGCGGTCGCCACTTCCATTAATGTCACCGTCGCCGTCGGTGACGGAGCAATGGTCGCCACTGCTGTTCCGACCGCTGCCACCGTTATAGGCGGTCGTAGGCCGGGGTCCTGACGGTTGCTGGGCAGGCCGGGAATACCGATGTTTGCCGGTTGGGCGGGCGTACCAGGTAATCTCGCCGCCTGCCGAAGTCTGCTCCGACCGATCTCACAGACCTGTCTTGGAGGCCTGCAGACCTGCTCAATAATGTGCTGTTAGGTAGGGAGGCGCCTGAGCGAGCCGGCGCTCGCGTTGTCGCACTCGGCTTCAGCCGGACCGGAGCTGTGCCGCCGTCTGGTCGCATACATCCACCGCCTGCGGGCATACGTCAGCGAACGCCCGGTGATGTCCCGGCGGGATCAACTGTAGCCAGTGCCAACTGTAGCCAGTGCCAACTGTAGCCAGTGCCAACTACTGCCAGTGTCGACTGCAGCCAGTGTCAACTGTAGCCAGTGCC